ACAGCGCACACGCACTACGCACACCGCACACACACGCGCGCGCACAGCAACACAAACACACACACACACACACACACAAAACACGACACACCGCCGCGGCAAACACACACCCGACACCCACACACAAACACACACACAACCACACACACACACAACACACACACGCGCGCGCGCGCCAGTCACATCACGCACGGACGCACACGCACACGCACACGCACACGCGCACACGCACACGCACACACTCCACTCACACATACACACCAGCACAGACTAGACTAGAACCATCACACGACACACACACACACACAACACCACACACACACACTACACACACCACACATCACACAACAAACACGCACAACACACACCACAAGACCAAAACCACACACACACACACACACAACACCACACACCCACACACACACACACACAACAAAACACCTCTCTCTCACACACCACACAAACACTCCCTCTCTGCAGCACACACACCACCCCGCGCTGCGCGAAACGCGCACACACAACACACCACACAACCCAACACACACACACGACAACTAGCCCAGAGGGCACTCAAAGGAGGAGTGCATACCTTCCGCGAGTGTAATGTAACATGTATCTATGTGTATACGCTGCGTCGCTGCTGGCTGCTGCTGACTGGAGCCCTAAGGCGAGCTGCCTGGCACTGGACTGCCTAAGGCGAGCTCGGCTGCTGAATCGATCGCCGCCAACGCTGTACATGTATACATCGTGAATATAACAGTGGCTCGCTGCCTGGTACACACACACACGAACACCGACACGAACACGCACACGAACACACACACGGAACACACACACACTGAACCCACACGGAGAGGCGATTACTTACCTCCGTGCAAACTCCGTTGCGCGGAGGGTAAACACGGACACACACACGAGGCGATTACATTTACTCGCCTTGCAACTCCGGTTGGCGCGGAGGGTAACAAACAATCCCACCACACACACACACACACACACAAGGCACACACAAACACAACCACACACATCACACACACACACACACACACACACACACACACAATACTCTTCTCGCTTTTTCTCTTTCACTTATACTCACTTTCTTCTCTGTCTCTTTTACCTTTCTTTCGATCTCTTTATCACCCATCTCTCCCGTCCACTTGCCCTGCACATGAAATGCCGCCTAAACACGACGTTCTGCATTGTGTTTCCCATACAGGCACTAGAGGGCGCGCGCCGGGCCAGGTCGTGCGGAGAGAGCCATAATTCGACGCTCTGCAACTCAACGCCCTGATGTTGTGGCTGAATCAATAAGGTGTTGAGTCGGAATTGAGGAGAAGGAGGAGGAGAAGGAGGCGGAGAAGGAGCGAGAGGAGGAGGAGAAGGAGGAGGAGTCGAATGAAATGCGCGGCGAAATCAAAACAATGAGCACAAAAGTTGCCTCGCCGCTACGGCTTTCAATGCAAGTATGATTTTCTAAATTATGTACTTGTTCATAAACAACGAAATCACTGCTTTGTAACAATGAAGCTTTTCTACTTGTAACAATGAAACTTTCTAATTTCGTAACAATCGACAACGGTAACTTTCAACACGTACTAACGAAACAAGTGACAATTGCAATGTTCGTTTTCCAATGTATGCGATAACCCTCTCTTTTCCCTTCCTCGCCTTCGCATCCCACCCTTATCTAAAATACGAACTTTTGATCACTTTCACAATTATGCGCGACATCAGTCAGGTAAACGGTATTCACTTATTAGAAAACGCATCAATATTAAATACCCTATATAAATATATAAACGGTTTTACTATAAAATGGCAGAATAACGGTTAACTCGGGTATATGCAAAATAGGGTTGCCTGTCGGCTTTTTACCGGAACAACAGTAATCGGCTGACGTACTTCCGGGGGCAACTGACCTTCACGGGTCAAGTGAACGTATATATAATATATATATATATATGCAGGAAGAAGTCGAATGTTATATGATGGCTAGTCAGATAATGATACATAGTTGAAATATATATAATTATTAAATTATTTATTATATTTATTATCAAGATCGGATGTAACATTATATAATATAGTCTTACTTCGTGTCCAAGCAAGATTACTCCCCAGCACTGAAAAATTCTCTCTCTTTCTCTCTTTCTCTCTTCCTCTCTCTCTCCCTCTTTCGCTTTCTCTCTCTCTATCGCTCTCTCTTTCTATATATATATATATCTTTATCTCTTACTCTCTCCCTCTCTTTTCCTCCCTTTCTATACACACTCTTTCTTTCCCTGACGTATCTATCCAACCGTATACTTTGTTTGTGAATGCACTCTTTCTATATAATTAATTTTATTGGGGGGCGGTTATGATACTATTATAATAACGTATAAACATATAATATATACATTTATATATAATAGGCCTACTTGTTTTATGGTATTACGGCTCGTATTATGTTATGCTGTCAGCTCGCATTTGTAACATTCATGCTAGATAATGATAGTACGTGAAATGTAACTATATATATATATATATATCGCATAACAATGTTAACCGTGTTTTCTATATTGAGAGATTGTACTGTCACGTGATGTGTTTTTTACAGAGCAGTTTCATTGAGTAGACACGTTGTGTTGTCTATCGTTTATAAATCTTCCAGTTTAAGAATCATCCCAATTAAAGCAAGGGGGGGGCAAAAGGCAATCGCTTTTTTTTTTCTAACTAACTCTACTCTGGTAGCTGTTCGCTTTACATGTGTCGACTACATATACAGCTACTATATATATATTTATTATGGGTCAAATACTCTCAAATAATCTTCTTGGGATTATTTATCCCTCGATCGGTATATTTAGGCCTACTAACACATAATATTATCAGGGTTATTTGAGACAAAGTTTTGCCTTCATTAACTCTGTTTATATATATATATGATTATTATATTATATATAATATCAGGAGTTAATGAAGGCAAACTTTGTCTTCATTAACTCCTGATAATATGTATGTGTTAGTAGGCCTAAATATACCGATCGAGGGATAAATCAATCCCAAGAGATGCTATTGTATATCAACATCATCACATGGTATATATATATATATATATATATATCGCAGCTGAAGCTAGTATCCGTACTAAGCATAGGTGTATAGGTATACTACGGTAAGTGTTCGGGCGTGCGGCAGGAATATAACGGTAACATGGTGGCGGACAGTTGTTACCTGTGTGAATACGCACATATGTCGGCAACGATTTATTGTTCGACGAGTTTGTGGAATTGTTTTTTATTTATTATCATGTTGCATTACCTTCTCGCGTATATACATTAAAGGAGGCGTGTCCGGCCTAGATCGTCTCACCCCATGAAAAATTCCAGACCCACTAACTTTTGCCGCTGACTAGAGCGGGGTTGCAAGTAAAGCTCACACCACGTGATTGTTCAGCGAAAAAACTACCAGTAGGTGGCGCAACGTACCTGGTCGCATTGGAGTTCCTTAATATACTAAAAGGACTAACTCTATATTAAAGGACTCTAGGTCGCATTAGAATCCATTTATAGAGAGTTATAGAGTTAGAGTCTCTATAAACTAAAGGTACTCTAGGCCGCATTAGAGTCCCTTTATATAGTCCTTCTCTATAAAGGAACTCTTGGTCGCATGTGCAAACAGGGACACCCTTCCTTCAAGAGTTTACGGTGATGCGATAACTACTATGCAGTCTGTACTATGCATAGAGGCGCGTGAGAGAGAGAGAGAGAGAGAGAGAAAGAGAGAGGTTGTGTGTAGCGGTGTGCGCTGCTGTTGCTATAGTTCACATCTATCCAATATATTGTTGCTGTTGCGAGACGCGATGCTGATTACATGTTTTATGATTGATGTTTACCGATCGATTGATTCGAGTGATTGATATATGATTGTCGTACGATTCGAACGCATCGATGTTTATGACGAAGCGCTTACTAAACTGGGATAATTTACCCAGCATATAATTTTGTAGGGAGATTTCTCCTGCCAGTGTTGTTGTTTTTATATATCGGATACGCTGCATGGAAACGTTTATTCCCCGTGCGTGCGAGCGCCACCTGGCGTTTGCGATTATAAACAATGTGTTTTTCGTTGCCGAATTTCTTTGCAAGGACTAATTACTCGTGTTTGCGGCGTATCGTATAGTGTGCCGGCGGGACCGTACCCGCCTATTAGTATATTGTCATATTCTTATACATGTGAGATGTATTCGCGCTTGTCGCGTTTCTTAATCAAAATGTCATATCGTAGAATGTGTGACCAGGGGGCGCTGAAAGCATAGGTTCGTCAGAGCCGTATATAAAGTCTATAAGCCGTCTATATATATACGGCTGTGAGGTTCGTGTGATGACATCTGGAAATGCTTCGGGGCAGTAAAAGTTGCCACCTGTTACATCGTATTAAATGTGAAAACATGCTTATACTGTTATAATGTATACACAGCAGCGGGGAACACGCACGCACGCACGCGCACACACATGCACGCGCGGCACGTACGCACGCACGTTTCAGACTTAACTGTTGTACATGATATGTATCACAGTTCGTTACGATTATTATTTATAGATATATTATTTAACGGTCACAGTTATTGATTAACAAATATTTATCGTTGTTGTTGTTGTTGTTGTTGTTGCTGTTGCTACTGCTACGTTTAATACGCCATTCTTATGAAACCAAACCATCGCAAAGTAATTTGAATACTCACTCATGACTCATTTGCACAAAACGACCTAAAATGTAGCAAATAAAAATTACACCCACATCTGTAGTCTTCTTTGCATTTTCGCTCTCGCCTTATTTTGATTTGAGCTACTGGGGCTACTGTGTACAATAATCGGCATATGTTTACTCCATCCTGAAGAGATAATATGAAAATTGCATATTTTACCATATAGCAGTGTTCATGAATACACCACATACAGCAATGAGCGGCACGGCATGGCAAAGGAATCGACGCAGAATCAACACGGCCAGCGTTTCTTTCAACCGAATTTATTTAAACACCCTTTTTATAACACGACTCGCTGCTTCACAAATAAACCGAACAACAACAACAGCCTACACGAAGAACAGAGAATGAATTCCACGTCGGTGATGTGACTCCCCCCTCCTCCCCTTCTCCTATTACAGAATTCAGCTTTACTCCTCTGCCTCCTCCCCTTCTTCATCTCTGACTATTAAAGGCTAGCGATGATGATGATGATGATGATGATGATGATGATGATGATGATGATGAAAGATATGAGGCTAGCACTTCAAGTGTGGCGCGGTTCGCATGAATCAAACGGAAACCACGACGACAACACCAACCTGCCAACCGATTGACATTCCTACAGGTGTCAATGAGAACGCCTTCAGCGTAACATCTTAGACATTTGCGCGCAATTTCGAATAAACGAGATCTAGCATCGTAGCCAACGTTTAGAAACGTTACAGCGACAGTTGTAGCTTTCCCATCGATCTGAAAGCTAGTCACTCATCCATTGCCTCGCATCCCAGGCATCGCAAGATACCCAGCAATTCACCGATACAAACCAAATTCCATTCTAGGGGGGAAGCCTGTTGTTTAGTTTAGGGTGTCCGAATTACAAAAAAGATGAACAATATGTCCTAGGTCAAGTTCCACTTCGATGCTACTTTGGTTTCTTCTTCGTTGCGGGAGCTTGCGAATAATTTCCTACATGGGATAGAGCTTCCTTCTACTTGAGATGTTTGAAGATTTGCTTCGATACCTAAAGAACGCAAAACCGCCAATCTATGACCCGATAATATTTCGATAAAATTATATTATGTCACATATATTTTATACTGGGGCAGAAAGCGAGTATTGACGTCTATGTAGTATTCGAAAAAGAGATAATAAACCTTTATCATTACAAAACTGAACAGTTCATTACATTAAAGCTGATGTTGCAAAGCTGCTTGCAGTTTCAGCACACGATTGGTCTCTGATACAACATTAATAAAATCACGAGGCAATACTAATAATATACTATTATTTAATATCACTACAATATTTTTCGGTTGATGAAATGTTTGTGTTTAATTGAACACTTTTCTACATTTTTAACCATACTGCACTGCACGTATAATGCGGTGCCATTACTAAAGTAAAAATGAAGATAGTGAAAGCATTTCCCCAAGCAATTCCTCTGTGCAATATTCCTCCTTCCCCCCCCCCATCTCAACCCTTTCCCTTGTCCCCGTGTATGCGTGCGTGTGGGCATCCCTCTGTGCAACTTACACACTCGCTGACTACATAAAGGAAGCCAAACACATCACAGGTGCATTTTCCTCCTCCATCTTCCCCCTAACCCCACACC